AAAACTCACTCTCTTTTTTTTTTTTCCTACTCTACCATACTAAAGGAAAAAAACTCACTCTCTTTTTTCTTTCCCTACTCTACCATACTAAAGGAAAACTCACTCTCGTTTTTCTTTCCCTACTCTACCATACTAAAGGAAAACTCACTCTCGTTTTTCTTTCCCTACTCTACCATACTAAAGGAAAACTCACTCTCGTTTTTCTTTCCCTACTCTACCATACTAAAGGAAAACTCACTCTCGTTTTTCTTTCCCTACTCTACCATACTAAAGGAAAACTCACTCTCGTTTTTCTTTCCCTACTCTACCATACTAAAGGAAAACTCACTCTCGTTTTTCTTTCCCTACTCTACCATACTAAAGGAAAACTCACTCTCGTTTTTCTTTCCCTACTCTACCATACTAAAGGAAAACTCACTCTCGTTTTTCTTTCCCTACTCTACCATACTAAAGGAAAACTCACTCTCGTTTTTCTTTCCCTACTCTACCATACTAAAGGAAAACTCACTCTCGTTTTTCTTTCCCTACTCTACCATACTAAAGGAAAACTCACTCTCGTTTTTCTTTCCCTACTCTACCATACTAAAGGAAAACTCACTCTCGTTTTTCTTTCCCTACTCTACCATACTAAAGGAAAACTCACTCTCGTTTTTCTTTCCCTACTCTACCATACTAAAGGAAAACTCACTCTCGTTTTTCTTTCCCTACTCTACCATACTAAAGGAAAACTCACTCTCGTTTTTCTTTCCCTACTCTACCATACTAAAGGAAAACTCACTCTCGTTTTTCTTTCCCTACTCTACCATACTAAAGGAAAACTCACTCTCGTTTTTCTTTCCCTACTCTACCATACTAAAGGAAAACTCACTCTCGTTTTTCTTTCCCTACTCTACCATACTAAAGGAAAACTCACTCTCGTTTTTCTTTCCCTACTCTACCATACTAAAGGAAAACTCACTCTCGTTTTTCTTTCCCTACTCTACCATACTAAAGGAAAACTCACTCTCGTTTTTCTTTCCCTACTCTACCATACTAAAGGAAAACTCACTCTCGTTTTTCTTTCCCTACTCTACCATACTAAAGGAAAACTCACTCTCGTTTTTCTTTCCCTACTCTACCATACTAAAGGAAAACTCACTCTCGTTTTTCTTTCCCTACTCTACCATACTAAAGGAAAACTCACTCTCGTTTTTCTTTCCCTACTCTACCATACTAAAGGAAAACTCACTCTCGTTTTTCTTTCCCTACTCTACCATACTAAAGGAAAACTCACTCTCGTTTTTCTTTCCCTACTCTACCATACTAAAGGAAAACTCACTCTCGTTTTTCTTTCCCTACTCTACCATACTAAAGGAAAACTCACTCTCGTTTTTCTTTCCCTACTCTACCATACTAAAGGAAAACTCACTCTCGTTTTTCTTTCCCTACTCTACCATACTAAAGGAAAACTCACTCTCGTTTTTCTTTCCCTACTCTACCATACTAAAGGAAAACTCACTCTCGTTTTTCTTTCCCTACTCTACCATACTAAAGGAAAACTCACTCTCGTTTTTCTTTCCCTACTCTACCATACTAAAGGAAAACTCACTCTCGTTTTTCTTTCCCTACTCTACCATACTAAAGGAAAACTCACTCTCGTTTTTCTTTCCCTACTCTACCATACTAAAGGAAAACTCACTCTCGTTTTTCTTTCCCTACTCTACCATACTAAAGGAAAACTCACTCTCGTTTTTCTTTCCCTACTCTACCATACTAAAGGAAAACTCACTCTCGTTTTTCTTTCCCTACTCTACCATACTAAAGGAAAACTCACTCTCGTTTTTCTTTCCCTACTCTACCATACTAAAGGAAAACTCACTCTCGTTTTTCTTTCCCTACTCTACCATACTAAAGGAAAACTCACTCTCGTTTTTCTTTCCCTACTCTACCATACTAAAGGAAAACTCACTCTCGTTTTTCTTTCCCTACTCTACCATACTAAAGGAAAACTCACTCTCGTTTTTCTTTCCCTACTCTACCATACTAAAGGAAAACTCACTCTCGTTTTTCTTTCCCTACTCTACCATACTAAAGGAAAACTCACTCTCGTTTTTCTTTCCCTACTCTACCATACTAAAGGAAAACTCACTCTCGTTTTTCTTTCCCTACTCTACCATACTAAAGGAAAACTCACTCTCGTTTTTCTTTCCCTACTCTACCATACTAAAGGAAAACTCACTCTCGTTTTTCTTTCCCTACTCTACCATACTAAAGGAAAACTCACTCTCGTTTTTCTTTCCCTACTCTACCATACTAAAGGAAAACTCACTCTCGTTTTTCTTTCCCTACTCTACCATACTAAAGGAAAACTCACTCTCGTTTTTCTTTCCCTACTCTACCATACTAAAGGAAAACTCACTCTCGTTTTTCTTTCCCTACTCTACCATACTAAAGGAAAACTCACTCTCGTTTTTCTTTCCCTACTCTACCATACTAAAGGAAAACTCACTCTCGTTTTTCTTTCCCTACTCTACCATACTAAAGGAAAACTCACTCTCGTTTTTCTTTCCCTACTCTACCATACTAAAGGAAAACTCACTCTCGTTTTTCTTTCCCTACTCTACCATACTAAAGGAAAACTCACTCTCGTTTTTCTTTCCCTACTCTACCATACTAAAGGAAAACTCACTCTCGTTTTTCTTTCCCTACTCTACCATACTAAAGGAAAACTCACTCTCGTTTTTCTTTCCCTACTCTACCATACTAAAGGAAAACTCACTCTCGTTTTTCTTTCCCTACTCTACCATACTAAAGGAAAACTCACTCTCGTTTTTCTTTCCCTACTCTACCATACTAAAGGAAAACTCACTCTCGTTTTTCTTTCCCTACTCTACCATACTAAAGGAAAACTCACTCTCGTTTTTCTTTCCCTACTCTACCATACTAAAGGAAAACTCACTCTCGTTTTTCTTTCCCTACTCTACCATACTAAAGGAAAACTCACTCTCGTTTTTCTTTCCCTACTCTACCATACTAAAGGAAAACTCACTCTCGTTTTTCTTTCCCTACTCTACCATACTAAAGGAAAACTCACTCTCGTTTTTCTTTCCCTACTCTACCATACTAAAGGAAAACTCACTCTCGTTTTTCTTTCCCTACTCTACCATACTAAAGGAAAACTCACTCTCGTTTTTCTTTCCCTACTCTACCATACTAAAGGAAAACTCACTCTCGTTTTTCTTTCCCTACTCTACCATACTAAAGGAAAACTCACTCTCGTTTTTCTTTCCCTACTCTACCATACTAAAGGAAAACTCACTCTCGTTTTTCTTTCCCTACTCTACCATACTAAAGGAAAACTCACTCTCGTTTTTCTTTCCCTACTCTACCATACTAAAGGAAAACTCACTCTCGTTTTTCTTTCCCTACTCTACCATACTAAAGGAAAACTCACTCTCGTTTTTCTTTCCCTACTCTACCATACTAAAGGAAAACTCACTCTCGTTTTTCTTTCCCTACTCTACCATACTAAAGGAAAACTCACTCTCGTTTTTCTTTCCCTACTCTACCATACTAAAGGAAAACTCACTCTCGTTTTTCTTTCCCTACTCTACCATACTAAAGGAAAACTCACTCTCGTTTTTCTTTCCCTACTCTACCATACTAAAGGAAAACTCACTCTCGTTTTTCTTTCCCTACTCTACCATACTAAAGGAAAACTCACTCTCGTTTTTCTTTCCCTACTCTACCATACTAAAGGAAAACTCACTCTCGTTTTTCTTTCCCTACTCTACCATACTAAAGGAAAACTCACTCTCGTTTTTCTTTCCCTACTCTACCATACTAAAGGAAAACTCACTCTCTTTTTTTTCCCTACTCTACCATACTAAAGGAAAACTCACTCTCTTTTTTTTCCTACTCTACCATACTAAAGGAAAACTCACTCTCTTTTTCTTTCCTACTCTACCATACTAAAGGAAAACTCACTCTCGTTTCTGTGACGGAGGCGGAGGGGGCGAGGCCGGCATTGACAAAATTATTTGCTGCGGTTCCGGGTTCGGAAGTGGCTGGTTTTGCGGCATCATGACCGATAACACCATTTGCTCACCCATAGTTCAACAATAGCGCAGAACAATGGGCTGCAGATACTTTCCTTTGACTCCTTTTCTGGCGAAGGTTCTCTTTCGCAGAAGTGCACACGGCAGTAACTGTACGACTAAGAAGTATCCAGAACTACTACTTCCCCCTGCTGGAAAGGGTATTAAATTGACCCGACTTCTGACTGACTGGCGCTTCGTCTTATTCAGCACGTTCCTCGCACGTTCGTTATCGCCAGCGTACTAATGCTTTATGGCTGGCAATATTCGCGCTATATTCTGCGTTGAGAATAGTCTGACAATATTTTTAAATTTTGATTTGATCAGTTTTAACGTGTATCCAGAGTAAATGCGACTCGTAAATTTTAGGTGGGGCAGGAAACGATGATCGATTCATGACGAATGCAAAAAAACCAAGTGCAAAAAATGACCCGATCGTAGTAATAAAAATTTTCCGCAGAGTTTAGAATAAAATTAATACGAATTTCCTAATTGATAATTACTAATCTGCTAACAATGAGTGCAACATTCCGATTATATCGTTAACGCAAAGTTCTGTAGATGGAGGTTTTTGTAAAGCTGTTTTTTTTATTTGGATATGTCACTTGTCTGACTGCATAACATTAAAAATGTTTTGCCTTTGGCGTCTGATTTGTTTACTTTGCATTGCAGCGAATAGAACTTTGGTGTAGCAATTTACAGTTGAAAATAGACGAGTGAAAGGTCAGATTCAATCGAGAACACCAGTCACGGACTGGCGTGTCAGGAAAGCTGCGAATATGACAAATTTTTAAAATAATACGGAACATAACGTTTTATAAGCAAAGAAAAACAGCCTCACGATTGTACGATAAGGATATCGATAAGGAAAACATTACGCGAATCTGAAGCGCTTTAACTAACGACAGATATGTCACCCATAGAGTCGCACGGCAGATCATTTTGCTTTGGAAAAGACGGCTGTATATAGCTAGGGTTTTGTATTTATTATACACGTTTTGAAGAGGATTTAAAAATAAATATGGTCAATGTCACAGATCACGGATGGATGTCAAATTTTTAGAATAAGTAGAAGTCGTTCCCTCTAATACGTCCTCACGTAAGCGTTGGTTTTCTAGGTGTATGTTCATAACTTAATGCCCTATTGGACTCTTAATGCATTGGCTATGGAGCAGTTACTTCACGAACAGTACTGGCTAGCGGTTGCGAATAGTATATGTTAATCCGCCAACACGTTAATTTAGCCACATACATCAGACACCATGTTATTATCCCAGCCATTATTTATCCATTTATTATATCCGATCCATTTATTGTATAATGTTAATATATCCATATCCATATATATCCTTTACATAAAGCCCAGATACATCTATCTGTATTAAGGATTAAATAATCATCTATCTATATTAAAGATTAAATAATCTATATATATATATATATATATATATATATATATATATATATATATATATATACATATCGTGTTAAGGGAAAAATTATTAATAATATTTTAACGGAAGATACATAAAAAGATCCGAGCTTTAGATATTGATATTCGGATCTTTTTATGTATCTTCCCTTAAGAATATTATTAATAATTTTTCCCTTAACAAGATTTAATCTTTCATACAGATAGTAGATGTACCTGGGCAAAGGATATATGTAAAGGATATATATGAATATGGATATATTAGATATATTCACATCTAATATATATTAACATTATACAATAAATGGATCGGATATAATAAATGGATAAATAATGGCTGGGATAATAACATGGTGTCTGATGTATGTGGTTAAATTAACGTGTTGGCGGATTAACATATACTATTCGCAACCGCTAGCCAGTACTGTTCGTGAAGTAACTGCTATAGCCGTAGTTCGTGAACTGCTATATATAGAATTATTATTATTATTATTATATATTTATATATATATATAATAAATTATAACCTTTTATTAACATAAATCACTTAATTTTTAATAAAATATAAACATAAAATAATATATGTATACATATGTATATGTAAACATCATTGGCTATATTATATACATAACACTCACAAATATATATATATATATATATATATATATATATATATATATATTATATATATATACATATATATACTTTTATTTTATTAACATTCTTGTATTTAATTAGGAGGCGGCGGAGGCGGAGGTGGCGGGGGTGGCCGTCCCATATCCGGATTGTGCAACGTTGTGACCTTGTTGTGTGACGTCAATACCGCTTCCACTATTTTCTCATCCATAATTCCCATAGAAACCGAACCGAAAGGTGCTGAATGAGTACTCCCCTTCCAGCGAGGACACTCTTTCGCAGAAGTGTGCACGGCTATATTTCCACGGTCGAATAATTTCAAGTACTTCCAGTTGTTTCAATGGGAATTGTCTCACTTGGGACTTCGTTTTATTCAGTCACTAGTTAGAACTCGCACGTTTGTTAACGCCAGCGAACTACTGATGGTATGGCTCACCTTATATACTGCGTTGAAAATTATCTGGCAGTTTTTTTTATTAGGTCCCAATTAGATCATTTTTAATGTTAATTTACATTAACTTCAATTAGGTAGGAAATAATAATTTATTCATAATGAATGCAGAAACAATGTACAAAAAATTACACAATCGTAGTAGTAAAAACTAGTCAAACTAGTAAAAAAGATCTAGAATATACGAATTCTAGACCTTTCTAACTGATAATTAATAATCTAGTACCAAAGAGCGCAACACTCCTATCATATAATTTAACGAAAGTTCTTTACCTACATTTTATGCTGTTTTTCAATTGGAAATATATCTTGATTGACTGAATAATATTATATAATTCGAATACGATTTTGCCTAGCGATTTCCGTTGAAAGACCGGGATTCGGTCGATAACAACAGTCGCGGACTGCCATGTCAAGAAATGTAGAAAAAAGAAAACGCTGTAGATATTTAACGTCTCACGATTTTACGGTGAGAACGCTAGAGAAACCATTACGCGAAGCTGATATATTTGACTGAAGTGCAGACGTCTGAGAACGCTAGAGAAACCATTACGCGAAACTATATATTTTACTATTTGACTGAAGTACAGACGTGCAGCCGTGATATAAATCACATATGTCATTTTTTTTTGGATAGCCCTATGCGGGATCGGAACATTAAGACACACACACACAGAACTCAAAGAAAAAAAAAACTCAAAAAAAAAAACAAATCAAGACAACACCTGCAGAATAAGCCAACCATCAAGGCAAAATGCCAACCATCAAGGCAAAATCGTGAAATTGCAAAATAAGGAGGAGGAAAGTATTGCGTGCAACAACAACAAACAATCCAACAAGAACATATAACTATTATTATAGGAATCTAACAAGAACATATATTATTACAACAAACTACATAATTTATGTAAATTATTTTATTACATTTTATATGTAAATTATTTTACATTTTTTTATTTAAGGGGGACCCGAGGGAGACGACGGAGGCGGCGGGGGCGGTGAGGGCGGCGGGGACGGAGGCAGTCCTGTTTCCAACAAGCGCTGGCTTCCTGACATGATTCCGACCGAACGACCGGACGCAAACACTCCCGAGTTCCCTGAATGGAGAAAAAGTTCCTGCAGACTTCTTCCTTGGCGAAGATCTTCTGCAGAAGTACACACGGCGGTAGCTGCACGGTCAAAAAACTCCAGTAATTTTACTTGCTTAAATGGGGACTTCCTAATTTGGGACTTCGTTTTATTCAGGCACTACTTAGGACCCGCACGTTCGTTATCGCCACCGACCTACTGATTTCTTGTTGACATCAATCGCTGTCATGATTCGTCTTATATATTTCATTGAAAAGAGCCTGACAATTTTTTCAATTTTTTGTTCCAATTTAATCAAGTGCGATTAGTAAGCTTCCACTAGGTAAAATTCACAATTAGTAATTATAATGACAATTAGTAATTAAGTAATAATTAGTAAACTTCTTATAAAATATTGTTAAAAAAACTATCGTTGTGCACATAAAAATTCTAAAAAAATATTTTATTCGTAAAAAATTACTGTGTACGAAAAAACTGTTGCATATTACAATATTGTATAGTTGTTTTTATTAGGAATTCTTTCCTCATTAATTGAATATGACTAAACTGCATAGAACTTTTGAATATAATTGGAACGCTGGTATTCGGCCGACAACAAAAATTAAAAGAAAGGAAAAAGCTGTAAATCTGAAATAAAATGTAGCAGAAAGTATCGCTTCCCGATTAGTACAGACGTTCATTAAGTGGTCTTAAGGAGGACTGTAGCTTACGGAAGAGACAATTAATACATTTGTATTTAAACGGGACCCAAGGTTCGCGACGGAGGCAGCACGGGCAGGCGCAGTCCGCTTTCTAAGAGCCGCTGGCCATGGCTACTCAACGAGAGCGCATAGCGACCGGCGGGAAACGCTCCCAAATCCCCCGAACAGTTCAAAAGGTTTTTTCACGCGGATTCCTTCCTTGGCAAGGATCCTATTCTTCGTAAGTATACACGGCGGTAGCCGCATGACGAAATAATTCCCAGTACTTATGCTTGCTTATTGCCTTTTGAAACTTCGTTTTATTCTGTCACTACTTAGGACCAGCTCGCTCGTTATCGCCTGCGAAGTACTACATGTAGCATGCTTCGCCTTATATACAGTGCTGAAAATTGTCTGATAATTTTTTGTCCCAATTAGATCGCTTTTAACGTTAATTTACATTAAATGCGATTAGTAAACTCTAATTAGGTCGCTTTTAACGTTAATTTACATTAAATGCGATTAGTAAACTCTAATTAGGTTAAGAGTGATAATTGAGTCATGATGAACGCGGAGACAAAGTTACACAACCATAGTATTAAAAACCTTTCGTACATTCTAGACCTTTCTAATTGATAATTTATAACCTAGTAATAGAAAGTGCAATACACCTATCATATAATTTACGGGAAGTTTTTTTATTTGGATATGTTGACTGAATAATATTATATAATTCTGTTTACTTTTCATTACATCGAATACGATTTTGCTTAGCGATTGCCGTTGAAAAATTGGGATTCAGTCAGCAGCACCAATCGCGGACCGCTGTGTCAAAATGCAAAAGAGGACAAAGCTGTAAATGTAAGAAGCATAAAAAGGTCCCGCAACGTGGCAAAAAAGTATCGTTTGATGATTTTACGATGAGAACCCTAAAGAAATCACTATGCGAAGATGAAATGCTTGACTGAACTGTAGTCCGTATGAATCAAGTCATTGTTTTTTTGGATGGTCCAAGAACACCCAAGAAGGCCAAGAACACACTAACAAGACAGATCGAGACAAAACTATGAAATCGCAAAATCGGTAACACTACGAACGCCAGATCGAGACAATCAAGATGATCAATTTCAAGTCCAGACGAAGCAACAAAAAGACGATCAATTTCAAGTCCAGACGAAACAATAAAATGACGATCAATTTCAAGTCTAGACGAAACAACAAAATTTCAAAGGAAGCTATCAAGGAGACAAGAATTGCGTGCGATAGGAACATGCAATAAACGTACAATAAATGCACCTATATTATGGAACTATATCAAAAGAGTATATGATGTAACCATATCAAAATAGAACACACGCAACTTCATATGATAGGGAAACCCAGAAAACCCTATATGGTAAGCACATACAACTATGATAAGAACAATACATATTATAACACCTATATGATAAGATTATATGATAAGAAGATTATGATAAGATTACTCTACAGGATATACAGGAACGTACAACTAAACATACAACTACATAACTCTATATGATAAGACCATATAATATAGAGTTATGTAATTGTATGTTATTAGTGTACGTTCTTATCACACAGAGTTATGTAGTTGCATATCCTTAAGTTGTAGTTATGTAGTTGTATACTCTCTATGCTAACTCTCTATGATAAGGACATACAACTACATGAATTTTTTTTTTATTATATTTTTATATTTAAGGGCGACCCGAGGGGGACGAAGGAGGTGGCGGGGGTGCCGAGGGCGGCGGTGACGGAGGCAGTCCGGTTTCCAGTACCCGCTGGTTTCCCGACATGACCGTTACGACCACTCAACACAGAGCGATCGGACGCAAAATTCCCGTATTCCCTGAACAGTTCTAAAGGTTCCTGCATGCAGACTTCTTCCTTGGCGAAGATCCTCTTCCGCAGAAGTACACACAGCGGTAGCTACACGGCCAAAAAATTCCAATACTTGTACTTGCTTACATCGGAATTACCTGATTTGGGACTTCGTGTTATTCAGTTGCTAGTTAGGACCCGCATGTTCGTTATCACCACCGAGTTACTAATTTCTGGATGGCATGATTCACCTTACATAATCCGTTGAAAACAGTCTGACAATTTTTTCGACTTAATTTGATCAAATGCGGTGAGTAAATGACAATTTATTCATAGTGAATACGGAGACTACATAAATTTACACAATCGTAGTAATTAAAATTTCTTTGTAGCCTAGTAACAAAGAGTGCAACAATTATTTGATAGGATTATTGCACAATTCTATCATATAATTAGGATAATTAAAACTAATTAGAATAAAGGAAAACGACTGCATAATTTTTATTAAGCTGTTGATAAAAGATAAATTACACTTATTTATACTTTAATAAAGGACTGAATACTTTTGAATATAATTAAAAGATGGGTTCGGTCGACAACACCAGTCGGGGACAGCCGGATCAGGGAATGTAAAGAAACGAAAAAGCGGTAAATCTAAATCAAATGGAGCATAAAGTTTCGCCTCACGGACTGGTAGGACTTTGGTTTCCTTTTCTGGTATCTGTTCATTATGAACACAAGTTTGTGTTCAATGTAAACATAGTTTATGTTTTCATTGTGAATATAGTTTATCTTCGACTATAGTTATGTTCGTTACTTCATTACAAACATAAGACATACAACGTTCACGTTACTTCAATTCGAACAAGTAATGAACATAAACATTCATTGCAAACATTCACATAATAATAATATTATTACATTTGTATTTAAAGGGGACCGAATGATACTGACATAGGCGGCGGGAACGGAGGCAGTCCGCTTTCCAACAACCACTGGTTTCCAGATACGCCCATGACCACTCAACGAGAACGCCTAGCGACCGGCCGTATACGCTCCCGGATTTCCCGAACAGTTCCTAAGATTTTTCCACGCAGACTCCTTCCTTGGCGAGGAAGTAACTGGAAGGCCAAAAATCTCCTGCACTTGTAATTGCTTAAGTACGAATTCCCTGCTTTGAGACTTCGTTTTATTCAGTCACTGGCTAGTACGCACACGCTCGTTATCACCACTGAACTACTAATATCTCTTTGGCATGACTCGCCTTACGTAAAGCGTTGAAAATAGTCTAAGAATTTTTTATTTCGATTAAATCACTTTTAATGTAAATGCGAGGAAACGATAACTGATCCATAATGAATCTGGAAAGGTACAAAAAATTATATAATCGTTCTAGATCTTTCTAAGTGATAGATACTAATCTAATAGCAGTGAACGCGCAGTGAATTTACGGAAAGCTGTATATGTGCAAATTTTTCCAAAGCTGTTTTTTTGTTTGGGTATGTTTCTTGTTTGACTGAATCATATTAGAAATATGTTTTGCCTCTGGCATTTAATTCTGTTTACATTGCAGCGAATACGACTTTGCCTAGCGATTTACAATTGAAAATTTACGACTGAAAGGTCGAGAACATTAGTGACGGACTGGCGCGTCAGGAAAACTGTAAATCTGAGAAGAAGGGAAAAATAATGCAGGATGCGGTATTTATACGTAAAAAAGCATCCCCTCACGATTTTTACGATGGGAACAATAAAGATAGCACTACGCGAAGTTGAAGTGTTTGACTGAAATATAAACATGTCAGCCAATAAGTCACACTGCAGGTTTTGCTTGGAATGGATTATGAATCTATCATGTCTGTTTTAAAGAAGATTTGCTAGAGGTTTCAATGTTGCCAATCCAGCGTAGGTTTTTCTGGTGTATATCAATAAGCTAATACCTACGCACTCTTGTGGTACAAGACGGTCCTACGCGGTTAACAATAGTAAAACAGACGCGAAGCATATCTAACTTGAGACCTGTTTCAAAATACGGTCGATGATCGATTCGCAACTATTTGCTGTATCCACGCATCATGGAGAAGATCAGAACCTGCCCCAGTAACGAGCCTAACCCTGTTGAGGCCCAGCACATTGAACATGCTTCACGAATAGTACATAGCGTTATTCTAACGACTTCCACGAACGGTTTGGGTTTTGCACAATATCATATGAGGTTATCTCAACCAAGAACATGGTCGTACGTCTGCCAACTACGAGCGCTACACTTAAGTGACTCTGATTAAGGCGGACGAGCCGACTCTTGAACCGCCTCGATTAAAGATTGATAGAGCCAAAAATATCGATCGGGCTACTTCGCCGGTCGATGCGGTCTTAAGAGATCGAGTCAAGGCTCGGTACTGAAGGAGAAAGGAAAATAGTTGCGGGTCGTTAGCAGGTTTTTTCCATACTGGCAAGAATTACAAGACACCTACAAGGATATTTGGCAAGGAATGCGTAAAGTAAAATCGTGGAAATCAAAATCGTTTGAGCTATTTTTTGCGCAGTCCGTAAGAACAAGGTCTACTAGGCCTGGAGCTTCACCGTTTTATATATATATATTCATGAAATTTACGTACCTGTTCAGTAAAGCATCAAGTAACACTCTCTTTCAAATCATCGTTTATATTCTACGTAATCATCCGCAGCATTCGGCATTTACTCAATGTTATGTTTCGATTTCTATGTATTTTGAAGGGTAAATGTTCTTATAAACTATATGAACCTTTTTATAATCAGTATGCTGTGAGGTGAATTATAGTGTACCTAAGCTTGAAGGCGACCATGCGCCGACAATTGATATTAGGCACAAGGCCTTTGCCCTACAACAACACGCACAAGACAACCAGAATTAAACGAATTTGCTTTACAGCAGAGACGTTTTGTCGAAGTGTTTTCGTAGTCTTCTGTAAGAATGATTTTAGTCTAGTAGTAAGCAATTGACCCTAGTTTTGGAATATTACAATCCATGGCTGTTATTTTGAACATGTGGGGTTCGCCAGCATTTGCTTCAGCCCGCAATGTTTCCCGACAGTGTGAAACGCTGTACTAATAGACCACACAGTGACGTACTGTTTTTAATATGTTCTGCATACTGGCACCGACGGTCTTCACGATCTGACATCATCTCAGACAAAGGCAATGCAATAATTGTAGCTTTGAATAGCTATGTCTCAGCAATTCGTTACTTTAAAATTATGTATTTCAAATTTTGCGCGCTTGAGCCATCCAACAGTCCGATAGTGCAACGTATCTTCCCGCTCAACTTAGACACGTGGTTGTATAGATTCGAATCTGGGCAGATTCTGGAAGGAGCCAGCCGTCTGAGATAATACCTAATGGTTTAAGTACCGAACGTAAGGCATGGAAAACACACTGAATATGCCACATTCGTTCGTAAAGTGCGACACCTTAAAAGGATTAATACAACAATGATCGCACTGTCGTTACCAACAAATATATGCGTTACGAAGAAACCCTTCAGGATATTGGTGAGCGAGAGAACACACTAGAAAAATCTATCCGTCTGGAGCCGCGATTCTTAATGCTCGTAGCTAACATGAAACAATTAGCATGTATTCATATAAGCAACTAGTTTTAAAAGTACGTTTATATATGGATAAGTAATCGATAGTCAAAAACCATTCTACTATTTACGACGATTGTGTGAGTTTGAAGCGACGCGCACGGCTAACCCGATTTATTATTGCGATGGGAAATATTGGGGTGAATATTGCTTGGAGCCAAACCTTAGGATAGATAAAACTAGTCAAATATGGAGCATGAATGAAAGCCCCCGGTGATTGTAAGCGTATCTATAAGGTGAAGGTCATGAAAGGTAAAAGAACTGTCTTCATATCAACTGCAGTACAGATAATCGTGTATTTCGATTCAATTTGCTATTGACGAGCAGAAACATTGAACAGCTTTCGAAAAGAAAATTAAAATATAGATGCAGAATGTTATTATTACAATTCTTTTATGGCCAAAATAACAATAATAAGGATCAATTATATGCCTAACTAACTTATCGATGATGTTTGATGATTTGTAATTTTATATATGGATTTATATGGAAGAAGTGTAACAAACAAGTTACTTGCGTGTGCGCGTAGTTCCTTCAGTCAAGTTAATTAGAGAACTTTTCAGCAATGCTTTGTTTGTTGCAATGAAAATGTTTTGTTGCCGACACACAATCGCAGAACATAGAA